CACACAGGGCGAGTCTCCTTGTAAGCAGAGGTTTCCCCCCCGCCTCCCCCCCTCTGAAGGAAGCAGACTCTTTCACACTTACAGCTGATTTTGGAGAGTCAAAAATCTAGTTGTTGTTCAGTCACTATTCTATCCAACTCTTGGTGATCCCATGGACCCCAGCATGACAGGCTCCTTTGTCTTCCACTACCTCCTGGAGTTTGCTCAACTTCATGTCCATGGAGTTGATGATGCCATACAACCATCTCATCCTCTGTCATCCCCTTCTCCTCTTGCCCTCAGTCTTTCTCAGCATCAGGGTCTTTTCCATTGAGCTGGCTTATTGCATCAACTGGCCAAAATACTGGAGCTTCAGCTTCAGCATCAGTCCTTCCAATGAACATTCAGGTTTAATTTCCTTTAGGATGGACTGGTTTGATCTCCTTGGGGTCCAAGGGACTCTCAAGACTCTTCTTTAGCACCACGATTTGAAAGCATCAAATTCAAAAGCCTAGACTTTGTCCTTACTGGGTTTTAAGGCAAATCTGTGAAATAGTTTTTGCTCGGTTGAAATAACTATGGTGTTCTCTTAAAAACAAACACAAGTGTGCAGATGGGCTTCATCTTCTCCTTCTCTCTAGGAGTTTTGGAAGAGAATATCTCCTCGTGGAAAGGAAGCTATGAGAGGATGGCCTCCATCTCCTGCCTCCTCTCTTCCATCAAACATCCCAGACCTATTCGCTTGTGAGTCAGAAGTCAGCATTTCTGGTGCATTTCTGACTTTTCATTTTGTCATATCAGGGTGACTGTGGAAGGCAGAACATAAATACATGGATAAAGAAAAGTATAAAACATAAATATATGAAATATACACACATCAATGTTTCATACATGAAATTTACATTGTTTTCATAATTATAATTTTAGGTTACATGAAATTGGATACTGATAATATTTTGAATATCTTTCAGTGTCATGATGTAACTCTTTGTATTTCATATGTGCCTTCAAATCATTCCATGCCCAAGAAGACTTTCTCCCACACCTAGATTTAGGGTCCCTCATGCTCATGCCTTCATCCCATTGGGACCTAGCCTTTCTCCTTGGCTTCAGCAAGGATCGGGTGCTCGAGCCTCAGAAATCTCTCCTCCCCCGGGTCCAGGCTCTGCCCTCTGGTCCTCTGGCAGATGGTTCGAGCCGGGGGTCCTGCGGATGGCCCACACCCCGTGTCCCAAACTGAACGTGTGCTTCCCAAGCTGCACCCACACTTCCTCCACCACTGTCCACCTGGTCGCCCAAATCAGGAACTTGGGAGACAGAGTAGCCTCAATTTTGTTTTCTCTCCACTCCCTGTATATAATTTGTCACACATGTCCACAGGGGTGGTATTCTGCAGGTAGGTAGTTTATCCAGAGCTGGCCGCCTCACCCTCCTTGGTCACTCTGCTCCGTGGTCAGTGGAACAACTATGCACTCATCCTTCAGGTAGATATCTCACAGAGGCATCCTTGAGCTCCAGCCTTCTCCACAGGCCAGCAGCTCCCTGTCCTAGTGATATAAAATCTTCTCGAAGAACTGGGCTAGTTATACCTTCAGAGTTCTCTGCACCTAGAATTTCCCTTTACGTTCAGCCCCACACTGTTGCCAGGGACCCAGCTAATACAAAGTTCTTTGAAACCTTCGAGTGACACCTTATCACCCACAAGGGAACTCAGCCAGCTCCTCAGTAGTGTCCATTATCTTCCCCAAATCCTCTGCTTCTCCATCCTTGTCTCTTGCCACATGCTGCCTTCAATGACATCGGCCATTCTATATGCTTTGAACAAACTATGCCACCTTCTTTGCAGGCTCTTAGGCTGGATGTATGGAGAAGGCAATGGCACCCCACTCCAGTACTCTTGCCTGGAAAATCCCATGGGCGGAGGAGCCTGGTGGGCTGCAGTCCATGGGGTTGCGAAGAGTCAGACATGACTGAGCGACTTCACTTTCACTTTTCACTTTCATGCATTGGAGAAGGGAATGGCAACCCACTCCAGTGTTCCTGCCTGGAGAATCCCAGGGACAGGGAAGCCTGGCGGGCTGCCGTCTATGGGGTCGCACAGAGTCGGACACGACTGCAGCGACTTAGCAGCAGCAGGCTGGATGTATCTTTAATGCACGCCCAGCCAGCTGGTGAGCTCCTAGCCATCACTAAGCACAGCTACGATGCCACCCCACTGCCCACCTCTCCTCTCTGTGCCCTGCATGCCCCTGTACCCATGCCAGTCACTCCACCTGCTGCGTGGAATCACACCTCGGCTCCTTCACATCCCTGTCTTCCTACACGGACAGCAAGCACTTTTGGGCAGTGTCTTCATTGTTTTCCTATCTCATGGCCCCTGCCAGTGCTTGGTATAAAGTAAACATCAGTAAATACTCACCGAATGAATGAATAAATGAATACAGAGTGTTTTCCAGGCATGGCTCAAGCCAGATGCCTTACCATCATGAGCAACAAACCCACCGGAGCTGGTCTCCGCTGGCATTTTCCGCTCATCTCCCGTGACCCTCCCAAATCTATCCTTGTTGCCAGCAGCTGAACGGCCCTTCCCTCCTATATTTTCCCCCTCAGTAACCTCATCCCCAGCCTTGGCTTGGATTTCCACCTATTCTTGGATGAGTCTCAAAGGTACATCTTTAGCCAGACTTCTCCTCCGAGCTCCACATCTGTTTAGCCAGCTGCCAGCGTGGGGCTCTCACTGGTACCTACAAGTCAATGTGCCTCACCCCTGAACTGTCCTCCTCCAGGCTCCTTCCTCAGTAAATGGTGCCACCATCTGTTCCTGGGAACAAGGAGAAACAGGAGTCATTCTGAGCCCCTTTCTCTAAACCCCTCCTCACTCATCTCCGATCCAACAACAACTGCAAGAATTTGCCTCTCGTTTATTCCTCAAACAGATATTGATCAGACACCAGTGATATGCTGGACTCTCTTTTGGGCCTTGGGAATTCAATGTGGGAACAAGACAAGCGAGACCCTGATCTCCTGGAGTTGACATGAGGGAAAAAACCGTCAACAAATAAGTACACAACTCAGTGGTATAAACGCTATCAATATAGTGAATATGACAGTGATGGAGGGGAAAGAGTAGGCTGGGAAGAGGTAGTCGTTGTCCACCTCACATCCACTTGCCTCTTTACTAATAAAAAGTCTGATCGCATTTGAGGCAACAGAGTGCCTAGCTAAAAAAAAAAAGCAGCAGCAAAATAAAAGATAACTTTGTATCCAGCCTCCTCACCATGAGGACGGTCATATGATATACCTGGTCAAAGAGACCTAAGAGTCAGTGAGTTGGGGGTGTCTGAGAAATGTCTGCTTTCCAGATGGAGGTGGTGTCCCATTCATTCTGTGACTTTGGTCTTCCTCCCTGGAATGGGAACAAGAGGTTTAAATTGGGGCAGCCTCAGCTGAAGGGAGAAGTGACCCAGACACGTGCCTTGTGAGGTTCTGGAGCTACTGCTCCAGGCGTGCACTGGTGGTCTCCAACAGTCTTGCTTTGTGGCAAACACCCCATCCCCATCTGGTTGAGCCCCTGTAGAGGCCGTGTTATCTGGGGTCTAGTGCAATCTCAGGAGGACAGGACGAGCATGAAACCCATCCCCCTGTCTCTTTGTCCACAGCACCAGAACCAAGGACTGGGGCCCTCCTGACTGATAAACCAGTGTCCGTGCTGACCTCCTGCGATCCCGCCACCACACCACAGTCAGAAGGATGGTTCCACATGCAAGTTGGCTTGACGGGTGCTTTCCATAGCTGTCGGCACAAACCAGAACTTCCTCACCTGGTCTCTGAGCCCTCCTGCCTCATCCGACTCCACGATCTGCTCCCAGCCTCCCTGCCTCTTCCCAGCTCTCATCCTTGCCTTGCTGCCTAATCTGGCTTCTTCTCCCCTCTCAGCTAAGGCTAGCCCATTTCAGAAACAGTAGAGACTGTGTCTGTCTCATGCATGATGATCCCAGAACCTTGCTTGACTCCTGGCACCCAGCATATTTGTGGTTCAAAAAAGAAGGAACAAGTGAGTGGATGAAGGCTTTGGCTCTTCTCCTGAGGCTGCCCCTGTTACCTCTCATTTCTTTCTCCTCCTGGGCACCTACAACTAATCTTATAAGACTTAGAGAATCAGTCAATGGCATTTCCATGTTAAGATAATGTCAGCACATGATCAGGGCAGGTTGTGATAGAGGAAGCCCTTGAAAACCATCCATCATCAATACTGTCTTTGCTTTGAGTCCATTCTCTCTGGGAAGAATTAGGTCTTTCAGCTTTTGTGTTTCTACAATTTCTGGCCCATACATATATTTGTAGAACATACATTCACCAAGAAATGTTTGCAGAAACACACTGTCCCTCCGTCTACTGGACTGGGAATCTAAAGGATGAAATCATACTTCATTGACTTGGTCCCCCATCAGCATTTCCAGCACATCAAACATGTTCTAAAGTCATCAGAACCCACCAATTTTATCAAAAAGAAGACCGTAGCTTGGAAATATCGTGTCCTCCCACAGTTAGAGAAAGCAAGGCGCTGACTCAAGCTGGGAAGCACCGATCAAGGTCAGCCATCGTCTCTGACCTTGATGCCCCAACATTCCAGTTTCCCTGAAGAAGGTATTTTTTTTCAGAAGCATAATGACTAAGTTCTAGTTTTTCACAGAGAAGTTTCTATTTCCTAATACCTCCTGGGAAGATAATGAATGTTGTCATCTCTCAGTGACTTCCCACCCTCTCTCATTACAGAAAGAATTAAATTACTGATTTATCTGAAAACATACTCACCCCCCTACCCCACATGGTACCAATTCTCCAATTAGTCACAATCCTTTGAAAATAATGCTGGCATGGCTGGTGTGAGCAGGACAGGGATGGCTGTGAAACCCAAAGGGACCATGGCTTCCCTCGTGTCTGTCTCCTCGGCGTGAGCGTCTTTCCCTCCACAGGCCCGCCCGCACAGCCCCGGGCGCGCGCGTGGAGCCGCCGCCCACCTGCCGGAACAGCCTCCCTTGGCCTGCGGGCGCCATCTTGCGCGCGCCTCCGCCTCCCGGCTGCCGGTGCCAGTTTGAACGGCTCCCTCCTGTTTCCCAATGAGTTCTGACTAAACGCCATCAACCATATGACAGGGTCTAACAAATATCAGCACTCTGCCAGGTTCAATAAACACCTTTTTCAGGGTAATGGTCCTTAATGAGGACACCAGCCATCAGTTAGGTCGGGAACACTCGATAATTATGGCTGGGCAAAGATGTCTGGAAAGAGAGACCTGCACGCGTGAGGGTTGGAGCGAGGTGGGGGAGGGCAGCTCATACAGAAAAATCACCTTCGCTCTCAACTCTGTGCTGGTGGGAGGGAAAAAAAACAACAAGAGCAACTCAAGTTTTAGAGGTTATTTCCCAAACAATGTCAACAATTTATTGACGGATCTAAGGGTTAAATAGTCACTCATGTAATCCCTGCCAGGTTTCATGTATCTATAATTAAGTCAATGAGGGCCTCGGAAACTTGCTTGATGGAGCACTTGGCTAAATTAGATCTATTACATGGCGCGAAGAACGCTTTCCATCAAAATAACCCTTTGGGGTCTGCCGTGGATGTCATGGACGTCTCCATCATAGCAGCTGAGACAGCCTTTGCCCCCAAGGAGCTCAATACATGATGGCTGTGTTGGTGGATAGCTCATCTCCCCAATTAGGAGACCGCCAGTATCAGACACCACCTTCAAGGTGCAGAAAAAGCGTCTGTCGGAGCTCAGAGGGGGGCAAGGTCGCTTCTGGATGGGAGCGGCAGGAGCAGTCCCCAAGAGGAGGTTATGATTCTTTTCATTTATTCGTTTCAGGCTAATTTGTTAAGTGCACTTCCTGTTCCTGCTAGCCCTGGAGATTGAGAGGTGAGTGACACAGGGCCCTGTCCGACGATGACAAAAGTGGACTGAGGGAGGATTAATAGACAGGTCCTGGAGGACCGCGGCATTCTGACAGGTGAGGGGGCGGGGGCAGGGCTGAAGAGCATCCGTAGACTGACACAGGCTGAGTGACCGGGGAGAACAGTTTAGGAGGTTGCCAGTACTGAAAACAAAAACAGAAGGGTGTTTTTATTGAGCACCTACTGGGTGCCACACCCTGCTGCAGACATTACAGATTTTGACCTGCTTGTGCTCACAGTCAGTCACCTTCTCAGGTAGAACTCTTTTCAGGCACAAAGGGAAACATAGGGGATTTAATTCACCCAAATCCACCCTCTCCTCATAGCTACTGAGGAGTGAAAGTCGTGTCTGACTCTTTGCAACCCCATGGACGGTAGCCCACCAGGCTCTTCTGTCTGTGGAATTCTCCAGGCAAGAATATTGCAGAGGGTTGCCATTCCCTTCTTCAGGGGAACCTTCCTGATCCAGGGATCAAACCCACATCTCCCATCTTGCATGCAGATTCTTTATGGTCTGAGCGACCATGGAAGCCCCACTAAGGAGAAGGGGTTAAAATTCATTGTTTGGTCTCTCTTTTCCCTTCATATGTCTCCTGGTATACAGAGTATCGGAGAAGGCAATGGCAGCCCACTCCAGTACTCTTGCCTGGAAAATCCCATGGACAGAGGAGCCTGGCAGGCTGCAGTCCGTGAGGTCGCAAAGAGTCAGCCACGACTGAGCAACTTCACTTTCACTTTTCACTTTTATGCATTAGAGAAGGAAATGGCAACCCACTCCAGTGTTCTAGCCTGGGGAATCCCAGGGACGGGTCGCACAGAGTCGGACACGACTGAAGTGACTTAGCAGTAGCATACAGAATGTATAGAGGGAACAAGAGCTATGAACCAAGAAGGAAGGCTGGGTGGTGGAGGGTTTGAATGCTGCTAAGGAAATTATTCTCTGCAATATTCTGAACTAAAGTCCAATTAGATGAATGACATTAATACGGCAAAAGTAGCAACAATCATTTTGGGGAGGGGCATTGGGAATAAAATGGGGGTTGGGGGGCAGGGATGGTTGAGATGATGGGTGGGGAGGGTTGACAGGGGTCCCAGACTGCAATTGGCTGGGAAACGAGATGTGGGGTCGTGGACACGGGAACACATGGAGGACCACTCAGAGGACATTACATCTGGGATCGTGCTCTTATCCACGGTTGAGTCAAGAAAGGCCCCTCAGGTCAGGGGGTTGAAATGGCCCCCCAGGGAGGAGCACCCTCCCCCCTCACTTGACTTCAAGCAGGCTCTTTGTTTTTCCTATTGTGAGCTTTGACAGGCAACTTAAAAAGAAAATGAGGAAATAAAATCTGTGCCTTTCGCAATCCACAGGATCAAATCCCTTTGAGGAGGGGAGGGTTGGAAGCTTATGCCATTGTTGTGCTTCTCCAGTTACAAAGCCAACACAGCATTGGGAGCACCAAGGGCTCTGCAAGCTCTCCATCCAAGAGGATCTTCCCAAATCTTAACACTAAGCTGGGCAGAGAGAGTCCCTCTGACGCTAGATGTGGGTCTATGGAAGCTTCAGGTGAGGCTGCCCCTAGCTGAGACACAGGACCAGGCATCCTTGGGAACCTCTTTGCAAACTCCGGTTCTCTAGCAGAATTCACCATGGTCTGCTCCTGACCCTGCACAGTGAAGCATCAGGCTGGCTCCGCTGGACTTCTAGCGGGCACCTGGGCCTCTTTCCAACACGGTGGACATTCAGGAGATGGGAATTGATTTTAGTATCATTCAAAGCTGGGTATATTTAGGAAAATAAATCTGCTGGGAAAAAAAAAGAAAAAATGCCACACAACAGATTCCAAATGACAACAGAAACCACAGACCAGTACTTCTTAGGATGTCAAGTGAAAGGGACTGTGTCCAATACAGAATCCTCGCATGGGTTAGGATGCCCCACCTCAGCCAGAAGAAATCATCTTCATTTGGACATAGGCCACCACACAATACTTTATGAAGATATATGTGCAATAGTTCAGTCTCTGTATTTTTTTTTAACACAGACACTGAAAATTAGAGTCATATTAATTATGTGCTGTGCTTAGTCGCTCAGTCGTGTCTGACTCTCTGACCCCATGGACTGTAGCCCACCAGGCTCCTCTGTCCATGGACATTCTCCAGCCAAGAATACTGGAGTGGGTTGCCATGTCCTCAACCCAGGGACTGAACCCTGGTCTCCCACCTTGCAGGCAGATTCTTTATAGCCCAATATTAACTATAGAGTTTCCCAAAGGAAAGCAAGAATATCAGTTATCAATCAGCATGGCCTTTACAACCTGGATGACTACATAATACAGGAAGGGGTGCAGGGCAGGTCCCTCTGTGACAGTTTTCCGTGGCAGGTCTCAATGGCCATCTAGTTACAGGCGATGAAGAGAGATGTCCCTTTCCAACCACAGGCTAATGTGAAGTTGAAATCAGCATATTTCCTGGCAATGTGTATCAGGATCACTGAAGACAGGGAATGCCATCTTCTAAGAGAATATTAGCATGATGCATACAGGAAATTGCTTCTTGCCAGAATGTTCCCACGGATCTTATCAATGACACCGTGAGATCTTAAGCATATCAATGTTTTAAATGAGCTGTTTCTTATTGAAGGCATATCCATTGTTAAGTTTTTCTTTTACTTGGGGACTCTGAAAATGATTTTCATTACCTTAACACAGGGAAATTAATTTTCTTTTCATTCCTCTACAGGAAGAATTTTCCTATTGGGTAAACCTGAATATTTCTCTTAATTATTTTTGACGTCACACTGATTATTATTATTTTTCACTACATTAAAGAGCAAAATACATTTCCGCAAAAAAAAAGAAAAGAATTACATTAATGTAAACAGAAATGGTCATGCATTTTTGTGCTCCTAGCTGTTAGAGAAATCAGATTGAGAAGGAAAATGTTTTAAGTAATTTTAGGAAAAAAAAAATGGTTTAATTATCAAGTTTCTAAAAAAGATGATGATGTGCTCAGTATGGCACCTAAAAGACGAAGATTGATTTCTTTCTGAAGCAGATATCCAGAACTAAACATCAGGAGCAATTAAAAAATGCTGGTCTTTTGTAAATTACTCCCTGAAGAAATCTTGGAAATCTTTCATTTTAGTCATTTCGGTCCAGTGAACCATAAAGCCATTATGAAGGAACAAAAATACTAGGGAGAAAATTGAAATACAACAGTAATTAACAATATGAATATATCAAAATAAAAATGAATTGGAAAGATAATGGTCACCACATATGCAATAGAAAATGAAACCATTAGAATCTTTAAAATCAAATCTAAAAGTAAAAGATACTCCAGGCAAACATGGATCAAATCAGGTGCTGTTTTCCAAGATTGAAACTGCAAGATTGTAGCATCTCTCAAAATGCACGATAAAGGTGTCTTCAAAGATTTGCTCATCTTATTTTTTGAAATGATTTCTAGTTTTTCTAAAGTACATTAAAGAGCATGAGGTACATTTTCTGTTTACTTTAGAATCATGGTTAATAACCCCCACCTTAGATTTTCACTTTTGACTTCCATATGCTAAATGCCAACAAAGAATAATAGAGGAAAACCATGGGAAATGTGCTGCTATCACAAACACAGATTTCCCTGTGGGTTCTCTAATACTTTACAGACAAATGTTAAAGATTTATTGCACACGAACATCAAACATGGTTTTACTACAGTTCTCATTTGGATCAAATTGACACATTTTACATTCATTTTAGCCCTAATGAGATTCTTTCACTACACATTATATTCTGAGTGACCCTGTACATTAAATTTGTGGCATGGAACAAACCCATTGATATAACAAAGCCCTATTCTTGCTGGTTTCTTAATTTACAAAAGAGAGAAAACAGTTTAGCAAAATCATAAATCTTGAACAAATGACTGTATTAACCAGTACTCAACAGAGAATAAAAATACCATGTAGATAGGCTGTGTTATGCGTGAGATTCATTTGCAGCGTTGCTGGTTAAACTCTCCTAGACTTGGATTATAATCTGAATATTCAATAGTTCAGGCATATTTCATGATTCCAATAAAGGGACTTGGTAAAAACAAGTTG